TTGACAACCATTTCCTCGACGATCCCGGCCTATACGACTCCTGCTGTTGCCATTTATGCTCTTCCTCCTCCTCATCCATCTCCTCGGCTTCGTCCTCGACTGCAATTTGGAGGGCTGGCGGGCGCCGTTTGCGTCAGATATTTTCCGCCTCTCTGCCTCGCTACCTACGGCCAACGGGCCAGGAGGTTGGACGTTGGCTCGGCCGGACAGCATTAACCCTGCCACCAACGCTTTCATCGGTCAAACTCTGTCCTTCTACCCTCAGCACCGCTCGACCCGATTCTTGTGTCCCTTCTTGCCTCTCTCCCCATCATAGATGGTGCTTATTTTCTCCGCAATTTCACCATCTCCCCTATCCCCACTCAAAAGAGATTGCTCATCAACCAGCTCAGCTGCACAGTTCAATTTCTGGAATTCCAATTAAACGCAAATCTCTGTTGGCCTCAACTCATCAACAGTCGGTCCGTCTTCTAGCCGCGAGGCTGCAATCTGGACGTATCACTCTGTCTAGTGGTTGGGCTGCTCTGGCTCCACCGAGTGCCGTTTCTCCTCGATTCGATGCGTCGCCAACAGTAGCAAGCGATTCATATCAGCTCCGAGGAGGACTAGAACCCGGTTGTCATGTCTGTGAAGTCAGGTTGACCGGCTTCAGATTGAGCTATCGAGTAAGAGTATGGTTAATGCATATTTTTAATTCGTGACATGTCTCTCCATTTCACACACAGCCTCTGGGATGGTAACTTCAGGTTAAAGCCCCCGCGTAATCCTCATGGTCAAGCCTTTGCTTCATGGACCACGTCCATGATCAAACAGGTCTACTGTTAGCCAACTAGCTCTAGTATCCACAGCGTCTCTCCTGCTTCTATCCTTAATACAAAATCTATAATTTCCTATGCCTTAGTCTCTTATGTGCCGGCGCACAAATGTTGTGATTCTCCGTGTTTTGATTAGGTTCAATGTAAGACACACCATACCACATTTAAATAAGCAAATAAAAATGGTAATAGCGAAGAGGTGATACGAGGATATAGGATTAGTGAATAGCCAAGGGCGGGAGAAGAGATATCAAGATTGTTTAGCAAACAGTTGATTGAAGGATCGGCTTCACTTATCTCTTTGACGAGTTATAGTCTGTTGCTAAGAGTAGCAATGCTCACTGGCGATGCCGGCGAAACGTCTGGAAATGTACCATGTCCACGGTCAGACTCTGTAAATTATCATGCTCTCCGGACTAGGTGCCACCGAACGCATTTGCGGTTCTGGAAGTAGCTGCACTCATTTGCAAGTTGCGAAAACAAGGTCAAACTACTTTTAATCCAACATGCTGGATGAGTGTGGATGAAGCTAGAACTATCACCTAGCAGACCAGTTGAGTCGCTTTCTTTTGGATGGTGGCTCAACACCCTCTCTCCTTCAATCTATTAATCAAGCATAAATAGTTCATACTCAACTTTCTACTGCCGTTTCTCACGCAGTCCAGTAGACCTCCTCCCTCGTTTCGGGTGAAAACTGGCTGAGTTTTCGTCCATCATTTCATGGACATGATTAGAGATGGAACTCATTCTTGTAAAAGTCTCACGTTAACACTTGGCC